AGACGGCGAGACAGGGGGCGGCCGGCCGTACTTACAATCATCTGCCATTGAGAGGCGAGCGGAGCAATTGGAGAGAACAACCGTGACATGAGTGTCGGCCCCTTCCTCCATCCTCCCCAGCCCTGGTTGCCCCCTGGCTGGGTACCAGCCCTGGCTGCCCCCCAATCCCCACCAGGCAAGAGGAACAGCAGAGCCGGGGGCATACACCATCTGACGTACCACAGCACTCGGCATCAACTCCCTGCCACCAGTGTCACTGGCCTCCACAGCCCCAAGGTGGCCCCATCCCAACCTGCCTAGTCCATCCTTACTGTGGCAGGGGCTCTGCTCCAGGGGGACTCAGCTCCAGGGATCTGGTGGACACTCAGCTCTGACACGTAGCCCCAAGTTACCAGGCTGCTCAGCCACCCTGAGCAAGCTGTCCCCTGCCATAGGGACCAGCCCCTTCCAAGGATTGCCTCCCCACAGGAAAATCCACAGATCTACATGCCCATGCCACATCCTCCACCCTCAGCACAGGGCTCACTGCCTCCAGAACATGGCATAGTCACACATGGCCATGAAGGGATAGAGACAGGGACTGCGATGGCAACTGGAGTGACACCAGCGTTCCTGCTAGATTTGGCCACCTTTGGTCAAGGGTGTGTGACTCTGGCCAGGAGTGATGCAGGGTTGACCTGCGCCGGGCTCTGAGCTGTGACAAGGCGCCAGTGAGGTGGTACCACTGAGGGCTGACATGTCACCAATGTGCTGTCCCTTACAGACACAGCATAAGGGCCCCCACAGCCCCAGAAAAGTGACACAGTGGATGGTGGCTCCAGGGACTCCAAGTAAGAGGTTGAGTCCAACTTTGTGACAGTGACAGAAACAACTGAGAGTGACAAGGATGAATGTACAGTTGGCTCAGAGCCCTCGGTGACACCATTCCCTGCCTGACCCTGAGTGAGGAGCCTCCCCAGGAAGCTTCAGGGTACATGGCTACATGCAAGGGAGGATACACACAGCAATGTGATACAGAGACCTGAAGCCCGCAGGCAACCTCCCTTTGAGGAGGGACCACCAGGGCTTTGCTCAGCTTCCCTAGAACCTGCTCAGCCTATGAGGAAGGAACAGTTCAGTCCTGCTGCAGGGACATGCCCCCTTATCCCCACATCAGCCCCATCCCTGCAAAGCCAATCCCTGCTCCCCAGGCAATCCCAGCCCCACAGCAAAGCCAAGATGTGGCAACTCCCCACGCTCTGAGAGCCTCCTGATCCAGCTCCTGGCACAGGGACCGTGTTCACAGCCAGCACTGATGGGCATGGCATGGGATGCTGCCTAGCTCAGAGGGAAGGGTGGAAAGGAAAGGATCAGTGCCCTCTTGGTGCCATGATGGAGATGGCAGGAAGGCCCTTTGGCAAAGCCAGCCAAGAATGTGCTGGGCTGCACTAGGATGACCCTTCTCTCCTCCATCCCTTGCCTGGCCATGAGCTGGGAGTCAGTCTGGGGAGGCTGCCAAAGTCCCCAACCCTCCAGCAGCCAGTGAGGGCACTGGGCCAGCAATGTCCCACACTGGCCCCAATCAGGCACCCGTCTCAGCTCCAGGGTCCCCTCTTCCTGGTCCCCTTCCCTGTCACTCACCGTCTGGTCAGTGAGTGGGGGCAGGACAATGGTCTTCTCCATTGTGTTCATAACCAGCTTCCAGAGCTCCTTCAGCACCCGCTTCAGCACTGTCTTCTCACAGATCTTGGCAAAGAGTGTCAGGCTGCAGAGACGGGACAGGGCTGAAGGTCCCAGTATGGCACCCCCGATGCCACCCCCTTCCCAGTCACCCTGACCCTGCAGGTGCTCCATACTCCCAGAGTGAGTCAGGGGCATTAGGAATGGGGGGGGTGCGGTGGTGTCCCTATTGGCCCCTACACTCACTTGCTGTCCAGGAGGTCCATGATGGGCTGCAGGACGTTGTCAGCATCCTGTGCAACACTGCTGCAGGTGCTGGCGGGGACGTTGCCAGTGCCCTTCACCTGGCCCAGGATGTCACCCATCTGCTTCACACACTCTTCAATGTGCGGCTGGAAACTGGGGACCGCAACACCCAGGCAGCTCAGCATCCTGACGGCCATGCCCGGGCCCTCCCTGGCCAAGCAAAGTACCCAGCCTGGCCCCAGCCACAGCTCCTGGACCCCCAAACCTCTCCTTGACCCACTGCCTGCACCCTCTTGCCTGGGCGTACCTGGTGGCAAAGACTCGGCTCAACTCATCCAGGACATTGTTGAGTTTCACCTGCAGCTCCTTAAGGATATCACTGGCTTCTGTGTCCAGCTGAAAGAGGGACATGTTGGAGAACCATCAGAGCCTCTGAGCCAGTCCACAGGGGGGGTCTCTGCACCGCAAATGCACCCCTGGGCAGGGTGAACCCCATCCATCATCCGACATGGTGGGACAGTGAGATCCCATACAGGAGTGAGGAACTGAGGTCTTCTCCCAGCACTGTGGAGCCAGGGAAGGGTCTGCCTCTGGGGAGAGAGGACTGATCCAGCCTCACCATAGGGATCCCTCCTGAAGACCCCGATACACACCTCCTTCCCACCCATGGCTTCAAACATCTTCTCAAGCTGGACACGGAGCTGCTGGATGTTGTTCATCAGGATGCAGGGCTGGAGGGGTGAGATGGAGAGGAGAGTCAGCACCAACAGATGTGGCTGGAACAGCTGCCCACCACACCAAGTCCCTCCCACCCTGTACTGGGGTACACGGAAGCAGTCGTGGCATGGGGCTCTGCCTGCCAGCATTTCAGGGACTGCGACCAAGGGCAGGACCTGCTCCATGGGGACCAGGTCTGGAGCTGAGGTGGAGGCTGGGGTCACCATATGTGTACAGTCCTGCCTGGCAGCACCAGGCAGGTAGCAAGCAGAAGGGAGATACATCACCACTTTCTCCTTCTCCTTGGAGCAGTATGAAGCAAAATCCTTGGAGATGATCTCAGCATACTGGAGTAGAACATTGCTGATGGTCTGCAGCCAAGCAAGGGCAGGAACAAGGAGGAAGGAGGGAGAAAGGGAGACCATGAGCCCCACAGCAGTGAAACAACTCAATGCCTGGATACACCCTGTAACCCCTAGACCCTTTGGCCCCATGGATGTACCAGAAGCTGTATGAGCTCAGCCCCTAGAAGGCAGATCCAACACTTCACCCACACAGCTATAAAAGCACCAGCCATCAAGCCTACATCCAACCCCATCTCACATTGCAGTGAGCCAGTGCTATTTAATTAATCTAAATTAATTAAATTAACTAATTAATTAGCTAATCTCCTGTGCTAACAAAGATGTGAGAGCCACAGGGCCTGTTGATGGCACATTCGCTTGAGCATCACCGTTAGAGGTGGCACAATCTGCCCCATATGCTGCTGCCCACAGCGGGATGGGAGGTGGCAAAGGGAGCCCAGGAGCCCTGCGCCATGGGTGGAACTGGGGTCCCAAGGGTGCTGCTGGCCTGGCAGCTGCCCACCTTGGCAAACCGTCGCATGTAGTGCCCAACAATCTGGGGGTCGGGGCACTCGAGTTTCTTGATGATCTCGAAGCTCTGGTTGAGCTGGGAGAAAACGTCCACCACGGAGCAAGAGAAGAGCGCGTGCTCCGATGTCTGCTGGAACTGGGGGAGCAAGAGGCTGTGTCAGCAGGAGGCAGGAGGGGAGGCATTGGCCCTGGCTGGGACACACTGGGTATTGAGGGACAAGCCCCTCACCCACCCCAGCTGCAGCTCCTGTGCCCACTGACAGTCCTGTTCATACCCCATCCTTCTTGTCCCGCTCCAGTGCTCCGTGCAGGAAATCCCGCGACACCTCTTCATTCTCATCCAGCCACTGGATAACAAAGGGCTCAAACCAGCTGGAAGAGAGATCCAACCCCCGTGAGGCCAGCAGCCCCTGGAGCACAAGCACCCCCTCCCCTGCCCTCGAGGGCTGCACTCACGCAGGGTACTCGGGCACACGGCTCTTGAAGGAGGGCAGCTCGGTGACATACTCGTTGTAAAGCCACTTCACCTTGAAGTGCAGGTTCATGTAATCCGCGCTCTTGCACAGGCGGTGCTTGTCGTGCTCTGCACAGGGGAGGCAGTGCCATGGGGAGGGGTTTTGCTTCAAGCCCCAAACCTGGGGAGGGGGGCATTTGCCCCAAGGGCAGTGGTGGGGATGCCAGGGTGATGAGGTGAAGATGGAAGTGCTCCTTGGTGGGGTTTAAACTAGGCATCATGTTGATGAGGGGGTGAAATGGGTTTGTCCAGGGAACAGGTGAGGTGGGAGCAGAGTGCAGCTCCTGCCTGGTTCCTGGCTTCCTACCCAGGTAAGAGGGAGATGTGGTGGGACTCACCCTCCATCGCATACTTCATATCCTGAGCGAAGAGGTTCCACATCACCTCAGCACTGATCTTCCCCACATTCAGTTCTTGGGGGAACCTAGGATGAGGGGAAAGTGCGGACAGAGGGTGGACCACCCCTCCATGTTGGAGATACGTCCCCACATACCTCCCACCTGCCTGGGTTTCCCCAACTGTAGAATAGATGTTACGACCCACTTCCAAAAGACTAAAGCCACCATTGCCACCACGTGGGCATCCCCCCGAGTGCAATGCAGGGTCCCCTTTCCTGGCACCTACTCACTGGTTCAGGCAGGGCGTGTAGGAATTCTTGTCTTCCTCGATAATGGAGACTATCAGGGTGATGAGCTTGGACCAAAAGTCCAGGTTTTTGATGCTGGGGCCCTGCTCCTCCGGGGGCACCTCGCCTTTCTTAGTCTGGAGTGATGGGGACACAGCAGAGGCTCTGGTAAGCCCACCTATGGGGCTTGATTTTGTGGTGGGGCTAACAAGGAGGCAGGAGGGCTCTGGGAACACCCTGGAGGCCCCCACGTAGGCCCCCCTTGTTTGCCCCCAGTCTCAGCCCCACAGCAGTGGGTCTCAAACCCTGCCCAAAGCTTGGGCCTCATTTTATATGGGGCTGAGCACTCTGGAGAGGGAGCAGGAGCATCGCAAAGGAAAAGGGCAGGGGCTGGGGAGGTCAGGGGGGGAAATGAGGTCCCCCCGCAGCATCCCAGTGCATCCCAGCTCCCCCTGCCCCACGCACCGGGTCCGTCTGGTACTCGCGGCTGTACAGCTCATGGCAGTTGTTGAAGATGTACTCATAGGTGGAGTTGAGGCAGGCTTTCACGCAGTCCTTCACTACCTGGCTGGCTCGTGGGGGGCTCTGCAGCTCCTAGACCTAGGTGTGTGGGGAGAGAGTGGTGCTGGAGGCAGACTCACAGCCCCAGCCAGCCACCAAGGAGCTACCACAGGACCCCAACCTCGCAAAGAACTGGGGCCAGCAAGGGTCAGCTCCCCACTGAGGGAACGGGGCGAGTACAGCCTCAGCAATACCTTCATCCGAAAGAAGGTGATGCTGGTCAGCAAATCCACTGTGGACTTGAGATCCTGCAGCCGTTCAGGGCTGCTGGCAGGGAAATTGTTCTGCCAAAGGGGAAGAAAAGACAAAACTCTCAGCGGGGTGGGTAGAGGGGGAGAAAACAGCTGAAACTGAGGATCAGCAGGTGCCTTACCCGGTACATGGACAGGTCAATGCGCAACGAGTTGTGCAGCTGGTCAAGGAGTTTGACGAAACGTTCCTTCTGCAGAGAAACACCCCAGAGCCAGGTAAGGGGGGGAAAAGGTGGCAGGGACCATCCCTCCTCCCACCTGCCCCTGGCTTCCTCTGAACCTGGCCCACACCACCCCGGCTCATCCCTCTCCTTCCTGCTGTCCTTCCTTGCCTCCTTCCTTCATGAGAGCCCAGCAGGCGGGCATGGGATGCCTGCAGAGAAGAGCATGTCCTCGCTGGTGGCCAGGGCTCACTGGCAGTCATCGACAGCCCCTGGGGCAAATGTGGCCGTGTCAGGCACGGTACAGGATCAAGAGGCAACACTGCACATCCCCTTTGCTCTCACTGGCAGTTGGTGACAGAGGTGGGGGACAGGCTTTTCTATCTGCCCTGTCCACTTGAACACCTCCAAGCCTGGGGCAGGCGCAGGGAGAGGGTGTGCAGGATGGTGCTCCTGGGCCACGTGGAAAGAGATCAGGAAAAAAGGGCAGGGCAAAAGCAGCTGGGCTCTTGCAGCAGTTGCCCATCTCCTGGGCTGAGCTGGTTTGACACAAGGCCAGGATGGCCCTAGGAGTCGGACACCTCTGTGGGCTCCTTACTCACCCAACCAGGATGCGTTGGGGACTGTGGGCAGGGAACTGTCCCAGTTAGATGATGTCCACTGGGGCTGAGTGGCTTTAATTCAGCTCAGCCCAGCTCCCATCCGGGGAGCTCTGGGCAGGAGGATGCAAATCCCAAATTGGGCTGCAGATCAGGCATCAGAGCTGAGGGCAAAGCAACCATTCTACCCCAAAATGCTGCCGGGAGGCATTTATTTCACTTTGCATCTCTGCTGCAGCAGGCTTTGGACTGCGCTGTGGGCTCCCATGAGAGCCCTGGGTCCCCCCTGCAGCACTGGCTGTGCTGGCTCAGGCTGCCCCATGGGGCAGCTCCCTGAGTGCTGGGGGGGAGGACAAGGGGACAGGATGGGGCAGCGAGTCCCGCGCCCCCAAGCCCACAGCCTGCACTGGCAACCGCAAACCTTCGGCAGAGCCAGGCTCTGGGCCAAGACCGTGCGTCCCAACCACCGAACGGCTGCAGTGCTTTAAAACTGGACACGACGGGTGCTCGGGGTTAAAGCGACATGGCCGGGCACTTTAGGACCCAACCTTAGGCTCTCTAAAAAAAGAGAAAGAAACAAGTTTTTTAAACCCTCCATGTTACAGAAAAGGTGCTTTTTCTTTCGAGTCTTGTATGGTTTCCTCCTCCTGCGTGACCTGGAGGCACAGCTCACAGGGCTCCAGCTCCTGTGAGCCAAAGCCGCTGCTCCCAGAGCTGCGCTCGACCCTGGCTGTATCCCTGGCTACCCAGCTCTTTGCCTAACCCAGGGCTGGGCACTGATCCTGGCTCGACCCTTGTGCATCCAGAGCAAGGACCTGCAGCCTCTGGGATGACATGGGGGAGCCAGGGGGAGAGCTCAGCCCTTCCTCACCCGGGTAGACTTGCCCGTCTGGCCGTGAGGCTCCCATTGGGCACCCATGGGTGTTGGCACAGCCAGGCAAGTTTGCAGCGGTCCTGAGCTACACCCAAATGCACAGGGTCGTGCAAAACTCCCAGCAAGCTGCAGGGATGGCTTCTTGCCACCTGCTTGTGGTTTTGCCACCAAGGTTTCACCCTCCCACCACCCAGCATCCCACTGGAGTCCCACTGGAGACTCCGGAGTCCCACTCGGACTTCAGCTGCTATTTCACCATAACAATTTGGGGGGAAACAAATTTAGACCTTCTCCCAGAAAGGTGGTGGCTCTTTTCCTTCCTGAATAATGGGAGTGGAATGAATTTCAGGGCAAGCAGAGGCTGACCCCCCCCAGTGCCTGGCTGCCCTTTGGAGCGGGGTGTTTTGCACGGCCCTTTTTGCCCCTTGAGCCCCCCACCCCCTCCCAAGAGAAGAGAGAGAAGAAGGAAGGAGTGTTTACGCACCATCGGACTTACCCCGAAATTGGAAGCAGCAAAGCGGTCGGAGGCTGAGACGTTGGTGGACGCTGTGGTGTGTGCGTAGTAGGCATTGATGTTGGCAAGCAGGGTGCTCATCACTGCTGGCACCCCAGGGCACATGTACTTGGAGGAAAGGCAGGCAAAGTGCCTGCAGAGGGAAGGGGAAGGTGAGGGCCATGGAGGGGCTGCCCCTAAGAAGAGGTGCAGGGTTTGGGGTGCATGCACGGGAAAGTATGGGGAAGGGGTGTGGGGTGAGCGAGGGCAGCATCTCTGCTCCCGTGGCAGGGTGCAAACAGCAGCAGGGTGATGCTGACAGTGACCCCTGCATCCCCCAGGCTGACAGAGCAGAATGGAGGGCAAGGAACTCACGTCATGGCCTGGTAGATGGACTCCACTCCATAGCGCATGGCAAACTCATCCACGATCTCCTGCGCTGTCTCATCAAAGTACACCTTCCAGGCGTCGTCCCCCTTGGCATCAGGGATCTTCACCACCCCGTTGTTTTGCAAATCCGTCACAAAGTGGAACAGGTTCTGGAGGTACAAACAAGTCCCATGAGGTCCCCAGGGCTGGTGGTATCGCTGGGGTGGGGGCCATAGACCCTGGGCTGGGGTGGGCTGCTCACCTCATGCAGGCACGTGTACTGTACGTGGTAGGGAGCCACCTTCTCCTCGCCTTTGATCTCCACACTGATGTGCAGCCGTATGGCTCCTGACACAGCCGACTTGTCTGTCCGCTTGTCTGCAGGGGTACAGGGAGGGGGACAAGGACATCAGGCTTCCCAGAGCAACTCTGCTCACTTCTGGCCCAAAAGAGGGGCAGACAGCCCCAGCACAAAGGAGCTTTGGGGACGGGGCCCAGTGATGCCCAGTTCCAAGTGCAGTCAGTCCAGGGCACAATGCATCCAAGACATTGCAGGGAGGGATCTGGCCATATCTCCAGGCACTAGAGAGATGTGGTCTCTCTGTGCCTCAGTTTCCCCTCAGCAGAGGGCCAGACCTCCTGAGCAAAGGGTTCTGAGAATGACCCTGGAAAAACACTTAATCCCAACGGCTTTCTGTATTTAGTGTTTTTAACAGCAGACCCTATGCTAATATGCTGAAATAGCCCTCACACCAGGGCCAGCAGCATGTGCCCCCAGACTGCAGGGCCCCAGCTAGTTACCGAGGTTGTACCAGACGTCCATCTCCCCACTCAGGGTCCGGACCTCAATGATCGTCTGGCCCAGGAAGTCGTCGGACTCCCTCTTGAAGCGCTGCTTGACACGGGACTTGATGTCGTCGTCCTCGTCCCAGACACGGACCTTGATGCGGTCAGAGGAGTTATGGCACTCGCTGGGGAGGCGAGAAGGGGCAAACCCTGGGATGAGCAGGGAAACCTTTCCATCTTCTCCCCAGCCTCTGTTTTCCTAAACAAGAGGGACCATCCCAGCTCTGGGCAGGAACTGGGGGAAAGAGCAGATGTGGGGGCACCAACCCTCCCACCAACACAGCCTGATCAGCCCCCATTGCCAGGAGCCAAACACTCCATGGCACAAAACCAGCACTCCTAGTGAGCCCAGCAGTCCCTCTCCACCCTCAGCTGGGGCAGGATGAAGCCCCAGCTGACTCCCCATCACCCCATAGGGATGTGTCAACAGCCAGTGCAGCCCGACATGACTGTGAGTGGCCAGGAAGGGGGATGGAGGGGCCAGGGGTGAACTTACAAATGGAAATTCTCCTCCCAGACAGGGTTGAGATTGCCGTAGATAGTTTTAGTCCTTTTTTTTGTCTTTCCAACCTGGACAGTGACATATGGGTCACTGGAGCCTGTTTTATCCTTTGCTTGCAGGCCCTGGGCACAAACAACTGCAGCACAGCATGCACACCCATCGACACAAGGCACACACAGTGGAGAGAGCAGACAGAGAGAGCAGTCAGTGCCACCACCACACCGAGATCCCCTTCACAGGCACAGCCCCGGGGGCTGAACCTGCTTTGCAGGATGAGGGGCAGGAGGGGGTTGGATCCTTGTGCAAGGAGACAGCCCCATGGTCCCCCACAGCACATGGTGCCTGGTGCCACCGGTGCCTACCTGTGATGCTGATCTTGGCTGACCATTTGGAGGTGCCATCCAGGACACTCTGCTTCACTGCCTTCATCTGCTGTGTGTGTGTGGTCTTGGTGACCCCAAACACCTCCTGGATCAGCTCAAATATCTCTGGCTTGTTGCGCTCCCGGATCTTCATACGGTCCTTGAGCACCATGATGATATTCTGGGTCCGGTCCTCTGCTCCATGCTTGGAGCTTTTCTCTGCCGCCCCTGGGAGAGCACAGCCATGGGTGAGACAGGAGAGACGGGCAAGCGGCACCCAGGAGACAGCCAAGAGCTCCCCAAGCCCACCGTGCATGAATGAATTCAAACCTGGAAGGGTCTACACCCTGCCCAGGACAGACCTGCCCTGCTCACCACTTCCACCATGCACAAGGCAGGAGGCCAGCTCTCCCTCTCTAAAGCAAGAAGGGACGAGGGCGCAGGCAGTGGCTCCTTACTCTGCAGGCAGTCAGCGTTGAGCAGGTCCTGGCACTTCTCATGGCACTTGACGCCGCACGCGGCACAGCGCATGCCCTGCCGGGCGATGCCCCACAGCAGCCCCTCACACTCGTAGCAGTAGGTAGGGGTGGTGGCCGTCCACACCTCGAAGTTGTGGGGTGTTGTGCAGGAGATGGGGTACACTAAGGCTTGCAGGGTCTTCTTGTAAACATGGTTTTTCTGTGTGAGGACAGAAGAGAGACGGGGAGAAAAGCTCAGGCCACGTATAGCAGCTGAGCCATGCAGCAGAGTGAGGACACCCTGCACTTGGTACACACAAGCAGGGCAGGGGACAAGCACCACCATCCCCTCGTGCAAGCATGAGCATCCCAGCTGCTCTGGCATCTCTGGACGAGGATGCGGCTATGGCACAGAACGCAAAAAAGGGCGTGGACCAGCCACCCCCACCCCCCCGTGCAGCCATGAGCATCCGGGCTGCTCTGGCATCTCTGGAGGAGGATGCTGGTATGGCACATACCCCCCTGGCCTAGGGCTCAGCCTTCCCACCATGACCACCCCGCACCCCAGCTAACCCCAGCACCTACCAGCTCCTCATTGTTCAAGGTGCTTGAGGCCAGCGCAGATGTGATTCCTGCTTTCCTGGACTGGACCAGGGACTGTGGGAAAGAAACACAATTCCCAGATCTGACAGAGCATGGGGTGTCCCTCTCACCCTCCTTTGGGGTCCCAGTGGCCATAAAACACGTGGGACAGGCCCGCACCCCAGACAGCAGTGGGTGCTGGCAGTGGGGAGAGCCCAGCTACCAGTGCTGCCAGCACTGCAAACCCCCAACCCACTGTGCAGCAGGACTGGAACCAGTTCAGCAG